TGGGACGCCATCATGTGCGTGAAGCTTTGTTGCGCCGTCCCCGGAATCCCTACATTAACTCGCTTCTCCAACTCCACGTAAATGTTGGGAGTTTTTTGTGCTTCAACCAGCTCTAAGATATTCTCACTGGATTCGATTTTCATCTTCACAACTCGTTCTCTTCCATCAAATACTGCCCACAATATGTACTCAAAATTACAAGGATCGGCCTTCAATAATGCTTGAACACGAGAAACTACTTCAGAATACATTTGTCGGCCGTAATTTAATCTCATCAGCTCTGCCACTCCACCAAGATACGAACCCCTGGAAAACGTACCACCATAGCTCACGCATACTCTAACACGGGTGCTAGCCATTCAAATAAGTGAACAACAATAGGAATTAAAACGAAAGAAACAGAAAATTGCAGTAGAGAAGAATGGTGCAGACGTTGATTTGTTAGAGATCGCTGTTTTTTTGCCTGCATGATAAATGCACAGATAAAATCCTCACCTGTAAAAAAGCAGTCAATTAATGAGGTGCGTAACTTATGCGACAGATATGCGATCAAATTCCGAATAGTCGTAAAATTGCCATGCGAAAAAATGGCGCGTAATCGCAATTAAATTAAATTATGCTTTATTCGATTTTGTTATGCGATTCTTCAATATGCGTGAAAGAAAATGTCGCATAATTGTCACTTATCCGGCGGATATATGCGAAAGTTTTTCGCATACTAGAAAATTATGCGATTGTCTTGGATATTTAATTTCCAAAAAATGCGAATTCAACAAATTGTGCGATTATTATGGGATATGATATGCGAATCGCACAATCAACCTAATTGTGCGATTATTATGTTACATGTTATGCGAATCGCACAATCAACCTAATTGTGCGAATAGTCGTAAAAAATATGCTTTATTCGATTTGGTTATGCGATTATTCTTAAATATGCGAGCGAAGAAACGTCACATAATTGTCAATTATCCGGAGGATATATGCGAAATTTCTTCGCATATTCATAAATTATACGATTGACCAGAAAATGCGTATTCAACAAACTATGCGAATTAGATGCGAAATATTTTCGCAGTCATAAATTTGCAAGGTTGATATATAGCCCTGCGAAAAGAAGGCGCATAATCATCGTAAATTATGCTGCATTCGATTTGTATATGCGATTATTAAAAATGCGAAAGATGTTCGCAGATTTGTAAATTATGCGTTTTGATGTGGATATACGATTAAATAAACGCGAAATGTTTACGCATAGTCAGAAATTATGCGCAGAATAATAATCGAACAGGAGGGTGCACGAAATAGCTCGACCATAGTACGAGGATCGATGTAATTGAGGGATGGCTTGGTAAGCAAGCAATCCGTTATGTAGGCGCAATGGGCCAGGAATGTTGGATAATTGCTGAAGGTAAACCGAAGGATGTGGCGAGTAAGAAGCCATTTTCATCTTTTTTTGCCGATTGGATATGTGTTGGTTCATTTTGGACATGCGAGTGCAATATCGCATAGCATTTCGTGAATTTTGGGGTGTAAAAGAAGTTATTTGACGGGGTGGTGTGAAAAAGAAAGAATAGATATATAATGGGGTGAAAAAGATTTTGACCCTTTAGTAAGTCTGCAAAGGCATAAATACATATGTACTGCACCGGCGACCACCAGCTTCGCTCACTCCTCCGGACCGACCCTGTCACCTGAAAAGAATAATAATAGTGGGAGCGTGAGCACCTAAGTCACTGTGCCTCCGCAGAAACTCATACTGAATAAAACAGTAATAATAATTGCATCATCATGATCAAACGCATGTATATCTACTGCTATCTGTAACTGCTCGTCAACAGTATAAACTGGACGTGTCTGCCGACTGTAATAAACTCAGCCGGAACCATGTGCACACCCTAGTGGTTAGATCTAGCCACTAGAGCTCGGAGTGGAATTACGCAAACTGGCTACCACTCTAAGCGGAACTGATATATACATACCTCGCACATGATAGCTGTAATTACACTCAATGTAATACTCAGTCTGAGTTCCCACCTGAACTGATAGTCTGAATACATAAGTGCTGCTGCTGATCAATCTGTAAAAATATATATAAATAAACGAATACTAAGTACTATGCTCAGACTGACTGAAAATAGCTGTTAAGACGCTCGACTCGATCTAAATATTTTACTGAAATAATCTCGGGATTTTACTTGACTGACAAAAAAAACGGACTGAACTGATACCGGTGTACTGGACTGACTGGACTGAAATATTAATTGAAATACTGTACTGAACTCGGACCGGATCAATAAACACTGAACTATTCAAAATTCCGGTCTAAACTGGCCGGTTCATTTTTTGGCCGGACCGCCGGCTCGCTGCGGCCGGGCGGTCGGCTGCTGGCTGACCACCGGCTCGGTTACATCCGCGCGCTGG